AAACAGATAGAGATAGAGATTAGAGAGTGAGGGTCTAACTTAGCCAACTATATAAGAAAAAGAACAGCCTGCTTTATATAGAGACACATACTAGAGAAAAATGGAATAATCCAATAAATACATGAAAAGGTCTAAATGCAAAGAGGTTTGGTTTATTTACATTTTCATTGGCAGTTTTTTTTTTTTAGGTTGACCTAATCATTATTAAGCCGTATTATTTTTATACTTCTATTACAAAAATATCATATTTTATAAAATAGTAACATAAACATAATATTTAATAGTATATGTATATGTATATTTTTTTTTTATAATTTGCATGTGGATCTGTCTAGCTCATTCAAAAATGAATTTGTGCATTTTTACTTTACAAGCAGTTTATTTATCTATTTATTTATTTATTATTATTGTGTTTTGGGCTGATTATAGGTAAAAAATATCGGTGCATGAGAACGAAGCACATTGATGACAGAGAGTTGATTACCACAAAGTACTAAATAACTTCAACTACTCTTCAACTGATTTTGTCACACATATGTGAACGACCTATATGTATTTATGATTTAGAAATTATTTTTTTTAATTTTTTTTTCCCTTTTTGAGGTTAATATTTTTTATTTTGAGTTTTGACATTATTGATTGGTACCTTTTTGGTTAATCCATGCTTTAGGGCTGTAAGCGGATGCAACATTTTTGAGTTTGTTTGTGGTTGGCAAAAGCCCGATCATTTGTTAATTGAGTCGAATTTAAACGAAAGAGGGGACTGTTTGTTAATTGATCTAACATTCGGTAACATCCACAAATGTTATTATAATTAAAGATTTATATATATGATATTTTTAATACAAGAATTCTAAAGTATGTAAATTTATTTTTGAGAGAACGAATGATCTCAAGCTTATTTTCTAAATTACTTGAAATCTAACGAACTTAAATTTGACCAATAATTAAACGAACGATTTGTTGAAATGTCACTTGTGATTTGTCCGACATTGATTTGATAGGGTAAATGAGCCTAGTTTAAAAGTCTAGTGGGCTACTCCTCCCATCACCAATTGGTTTTGGGATGAAACCTCACTTGAGCTTCATTTGAGCTAACTCTCTTATGGTGCGCTTCACCTGTGTGGGACCGCATTTGTTTTGTCCCCGTTTGACACGATTTTGAACAAAAACTTTGCTTGAATAAATAGCAAACACGAACTGTGTTCAAACACAAACATGAATGTGTTCAAACATTATAAAATACGAGCTTGATCGAAATGCTCAAATTCGACTCGTTTAGTTAGTAACTTGGGCCTAGTAAACTTAGTCTATCTAATTAAATGAAGGTTTGGGCTCATCATATGATTCATTTTTCGCTGGGCTCTATAACATAGGCTGCGAGAGTTGGGCTTCGAACAATAACTATATAAATGAACAATATGATTCATTTTTCGCTGGGCTCTATAACATGGCTTGCGAGAGTTGGGCTTCGAACAATAACTATACAAATGAACAAGCTTTGATCAAAGCTCATGGGGCATGAAATTAGCTCTTTTTCTCACTTAAAAAAGAATTAAAATAAAATTTAAAAAAAAAAACAAAAAAACAAAATAACTGATATCTATTGTCATTCGCTCATTTCTGTATGTATGATGTATGAACTATAGAGAATTTTATCCTTCTGTTTATATTTTATAACAATATTTATTTTGTTCGACCACATATGTTGCTTGAGCAACCTAATCATTATGCAGATTAATAGTTCGTCATAGTTGCTTGAAATATGTCATTTTTAATAAAAGTATATACGTTTGTGGAAAAAGGTTTTTGTGGTGCTTTTCATTTGAATTTCCACATCTCTTTTAGTGTTACAAAATAAATAAAAAGAAATTAAAGTGCAGCAACACAATCAAAACTTTTAAACTTTGAGACAAATGCAAATAGATATATGCAAAATTCGTGTTAAAAAAAAAAATAAAATAAAACTTTTCATGCCCTGCAGATACAAAATAATCCTACAACCTAAACATCCCCAGCTAGCTAGGCACAATTCACAAACTAAAATCAACTAAAACAATAATAAACTTAATTAAAAAAAAAAAAGAAAGAAAAAGACTAAAAATGTAAAATTCCCATGCATGCCAAAAGAGCAAGAATTTCCATCATCATATCTTTATTTCTAATCCTCAGCCCAATCCCCTCTGCTCCGACCAGCCGGACTTAGAAACTTCTCGAGCTCCGGTGACCGGAAAAACCCATTTTCTGGCTCCGGCTGCCTCGTCCGCCGCCTGTTTTTCTTTCTTGGCGGCGGAGGGCAGACGAGTGCCGTCGGAATTCGGTGCTCGTGGCTCTTAGGGGTTGTACATTCTTCCTGTGCTTCCATTTTTCTTCACAAATACTTGCAATTTGCAAAGACAAATTGGAGTAACTAATAATAAGCCTAGCTAGTTATTTTATTTTATTTTATTTTATTTCAGTTCAATTGATGAAATAGAGAGATCAAATTGAGGAATTTATGTGGGAAATTGGAACGTGGACGGTTACTAAAGTTTGTGGGTAGATATAAATAACAAAATTAAATATAAAATTGATTGTGGGCAAAATTTATTGTGAAGGACTAATTGAAATTCTGTTACATGAGTAGTGGAGGGACGTGGCTTAGTTGACTGGCGAATTTGGACTTAGTAGTCAAAATCTCGTCTTGGGCTATTTGACTGAATGCTTTCCAAACATGGGCCAAAATAATGGGCTGTTGATCATTACTATCCTAAGAGGCCCAAGTAATGGGCTTATTATTGAAGCCTGCTTCTTGGTAGGAGATAATGGAAAAAATTACTCCTTATGTCTAATTTTATTATTTTATTATTATGTCTAATGAGGATTCGCATTGAAGAGGAAATTAAAAATAAGAAGGATTGAAAAGGAAATCATAATGCTTCAGCGCCATGATATACATTTGGACTTTTATTTATATCTATTAAAACTATTAAAATTATAAAACGTTTTATCCAAAAAGTTAAATAATAAATATAAGGCCTAATTGCTATAAAAACCATGTTTTTTTTTATTTTTTTATTTTATTTTATTTTTGCAATTATATGCACCAGTTTTCACATATCGATTATTGTTTGCAATTCGAATAACAGGGCTTAATTTCAATCAAGTTAAAAAGTTGTTTATATAATTGCAAAATCCGAAAAAGTTATGGTTTTTATATCAATTAGGCCTAAATATAATATAAAACTTAATATATGAAAAGCAAAGTTGTTTATATAATTGCAAAATCCGAAAAAGTCATGATTTTTATATCAATTAGGCCTAAATATAATATAAAACTTAATATATGGAAAGCTATGGGCTTTCTGAAACCAGTTTCAAAGTTGTTCCCGTAGAAAACTTCTTGTCATAGCTTAACTTTTCTTTTAATTTATGATTAAAGGTAGTGAGAGGTGACATTAGTCTCCACAAATTATAAGAATCATCCCATGAGATTAATTCAAGAAAAAAATCTAAAGATAAAAACCAGAGACAACTACTGCAAAGAGATAGTATATTTAGTTGTTAGTGGATATAATAAAATAATATTTAAAATAAAATAATTAATGTTGATTTGAAGTAAAGTAGAAGAAAGATGATTTGAAGTGATGGTTAGTTAGAATAATATGAGTAGATAAATAGTGAATTAAAGTTGATGTGGTGTGTAATAATGATTGATTGATATTACTTTATTATATTGATAATATTGATGATAGCAGTGTTGAGTTAAAAAAAATAGTTGAGTTAAAAATTTTTAGATTTTTTTGATTAGTTTTGTATCCAAGCATCCTCTAAATATTTCTTTCACAATTACCAGGTAAAACCTCAGCTGGAAAAAGGGAAGTTATAACTACACCACTCCTAGCCAGTAACCATCATTAGCAAATCAAGAATCTAATGCTCATCATTTTGTGAACTTGTATCCTTTTCATTGGAGATATCATATAATCCAAATAGTGTAATGTAGGAAATCAGTGAAAGACAAA